ACTGGGCAGGGGGCAATCCCTGCTGCCCCCCACTGTGTGGGGGGCTCTGTCTGAGTGCTCTCCTCTAGGCCCAGTGATGCTGAGACTAAAGCGGGTCGTTCCAGCCACCACTCGGGCTCTGCAGGCCCCAGCCCTTCCAGTTCCCCTGCCCCTGGACCCATACCATTTTCTGCTTCTGGCAGTGAAGGATGTGCTGGTCAACCAGCCCCCCCTGCTCCAGCTTCTGCTCCTTGGATTTCATCGTTTTCTTGTTAATGCAGCTATCCTCTGCCAGGCGTTCCCTTTCTTTTTTCCGTCTCTTCCTCTCCTTATTACTCTTTTTCCGCTCCTTGATCTGGAGCCTCTCCCTGGGTAAGACACAAGAATTGTCGCACGTGCACCCCACTGGCCCCAGGCTCCTCACCAACAGGACTCCTGCAAGGCCAGCTGGGCTGGGAGACCTGCTCTAAGGCTGCCATCCAGCGACCAAGCAGGGGAGGCTAAGCCTGGGGGTGCCCCTGACTCGGCCTGCATGCAACGTGCTGCATGTGGAAGTGCCCACATTTGAGGCAGCCCATGCCTGGCTGTGGCAGGGCAGGGACTTCTCGCTCACCAGATCAACTCCTGCTCCCTTGTCTGCTTTAGCTCTTCTCGCACATTCACAGCTTTCTGGTACTCCTCTTCCATACTCTGGTCCAGGCACTTCTCCTCCTGTTTGATCTCTTTCTCCATCTGCTTATTCTTTAACTTCTGGGCGTCCAGGACAACATGGTACCTGGCATCCACAATCATCTGCAGGGCAGAGCACCGGGCTGGTCTGCGCCACACTCAGTGACAGAAGCAGGAGAGAGAGACCCCAATGTGGGGCACAGAGCAAGGAAGAGACACAGGGCTACGGAGGCTCTAGTGGGGAGCAGGGCCCAGACCTATTCCTGGTGCTGCCACCGACTGTGTGTGTGCCCTTGGGGGAGTCCCTTACCCTGTCTTCCGTCCTGATCCAGATAGGACAGGAGTGACTATAGCTCTCTCTGGCGAGCAGGGCCATCCCCGGGGTGGGGGGGGAGGCAATCGGGGCGACTGCCCCAGGCCCTGCACTTTGAGGGGTCCAGTGGGGCCAGGTGGAGCGGCACTGCGATTCTGTGCTGCTGCTGGCTTCACATCTGGCCACTCAGCACCCCCCTGCTGCCAGCTTCCTCGCATCCAGGGGCGGGGCCCCGCATAGGCTGATTTGTCCTGGGGCCCTCACCGTGCTCGGGTCATCTCTGCTGGCGAGTGACCCCTCTGCAATGGGCTGGGAGGTCCCAGAGCCCAGTTTCTGGCAGGGTGTCATGCTTGTCCCATCCCCACAGGAACCCTTGCAGAGAGCCAAAGCACTGGGCTAAGGAGAGTCAGCCCCCAGCTCCCCTCCATGCCACAGTCCTTCCATGGCAGTGCTTCACGTGCCATTCTCAATCTAGGTCTCAGGGAAGCAGGCGCAGCACAGCCTTGCCTTTTGCAGAAGAAGACTTGGAGACTGGGGGCAAAGGGGCAGCAGGGGGAGAAGGGCAGGAGAGAGGGCAGCTGGAGAGCCTGTGCCCATGGCCCACCTTCTCCTTAACCTTAATCTCGTCCTCTTCCTCCTCCAGGTGCATGCTGTTGCCCTGCTGCACATGGGGGCTGGTTTGTTCCTATGCCTCATCCTGGTCACTTTGCTTGCTGTGTTGTGGAATCAGCTTCTCCGAGGCCTGTCTGCGCAGGGCCACAGCGGCCTGGAGGGGAGAAGCAGGCTGCTAGCAGCCCCTGGCAGGCGCGGAGCCAGGCTGGGCCAGTGTCAGTGCCCACGCTTGATGGAGCTGTCACCAGCCCGTGCCCTGGGCCCATAATACCCTGTTACACTGGCCAGGGCCTGCCTGGATTCTGGGGTGGGCCTGCCTGGGGCAACTGCAGGAGGCAGCCCTGCCCCGAGCCAGATGCCTGAATAATGCTCCTCTGGTAGGCACTGTCTGCATGGGCCATGCTCGGGACAGCAGCCTGCGATACATGTGGCCCTGCAGCATGCTTACCACAGGGAGCCCACACCGGGCATGGACAGGGGTTCCCCTGCCCACACAGTCAGTCCTGGCAGAAGGCCACCCTGTCCCACAGCACCAGGGACCCTGCCTCAAAACTGGCTAGCACAGGGGAAGCAAAAGGAGGCACCTACCGTCTTGGCTTTCCTCTCAGCTTTGAATGCTGCTGCATTGGTCTGGCGCTCCTCCCTACTTAGGGCCAGATCTTTAAAACATTGATAATCAGCTCTGCTGAGTTTCAGTGCACGCTGTGGGAATCTGTCCACAGGAGGTCTGGGGACGGGCAAGAGGGGCACCGAGAGAGTTGGCATCAGGGGCATAGAGTTTCTCTTCCCTGAACCAGGTGCCAGGGGAACAGAAGGGGTCAGAGCAGCGTGGCAGTGATAGGGGCTGTGGTGGCATTCGCAAGATCTGGGAGCCCAGCCAGAGAAATGCGGGGCCCAATCTGCAGGAGGGCCAAGCACCTCTGATCCACAGCAACTTCACTTGGACCCAGGGCTGCTCAGCACCTCTGGAGATTGGCTCCAAGAGTCTGGGGTGGGTCTGGGGTGATGCAGCACTTGGGGGCCACAACCCCTCATAGGAATGGGCCCATGCCTCATGTCACCCCCACACAAAGTAACCAGGCAGGAGGGAGACAGGGCAGCTGTTCCCAGGGAAAAGGAACAGGGCCAACAGCTTGTGGCAGGAAGGGAGGACCCTACGCGTGGTGGGATCAACAGGGAGATGCCTCTGGTGTTAGATGAATGAGGAGGGCCCACGGGTTATGTCCAAGGGTTTGTGCTGCTCCCGCCTTGCTAGTATCTCCCACTGGGTGAGGGGTTATGGGGTAGGGGCATGCGGTGCTTCCCTGCTGGCTCTGCAGAAGAGCCATTCCCTTGGCACAAACTGGGTCATGGGAGCTGCTTCCCCACCCAACTCCAGGGCCGTCCCAGACAGGCATTTCTGGGTTGCTTAGTCCCCCTCCAGGGGGTCAATGTAAGCGGCACCACAGCCCTTCCGCAGGGCAGCCACAGACCACAGGACCCCTGACAGCACATCCAAGCACTTGCTGCCTTACACTAGTTTGCTGACACAATAGTCCTTGGTTTCAGTCAGGGTGTTGGTCTTCAGCTTACAGGGCTGGTCAATGGGTGGGAACCGTTCATGAGCCTCGCGCACATCATATGGCATTGTGGCCATATATGCAAGCTGTGACTGCTGCAGGTCCTGCAAGAAAAAAAGGAAGGGGTCTCTTTCTCTTCTGGGTTTCCTCTGGGTCCAGAGGGCAGACAGGGGTCGGGAGCAGGTGCAGGGCATGGCTCTGCCAGCCCCTCACAGCCACTCACCTGCCTCTTACCCTTGGGCACCTGGCCTGTCCTGCTGTTACAGCCTAACTGGGGCAGGGGCTCCAGTGGGGCCTGCCTCCAGGC